GCCTGGACCAAGGACCTGGGCCTGCGGCGATAGAGCGAGGTCAGGCCCCTAAACCTCGTATACCGAGAGCCTGGAAATATATTTTGTTGCAGAACTACCAAAAAGCAAAAAATTCAATTCTCCCAGAGACCGAACTCACGACCATCGCGTGGTAGACTGGGCGCAAATCCACTACACCATGGGGCAGATGGGAGGAGACGGCCGGAAAGCCCTCTTCTGTCCTGGGGAAAGGGGCAGGGAAGGCAAAGAAAAGGGCAGCCCAATGATCCCCGGAGGAGAGGCCTACTGGTCACCTTACAAAATTCCATTTATGAGCCTGAATCAGCTGAAAATTTGCAAAGATAATAAGATGCGCATGATCCCCACCATCAGATACATAACAGGTCCAAATTACAGACCAAAATTCCATCTGGGCTCTGAGATATGGCCCGGACACCAGGCTCTTGGCCCACTTTGTTGGGACTTTTTAGAAAAATGCTCATAAAAACTTCATTTTACAAAATCTGGCAAACGCAAAATTATATATCAGGAGAATTCTATTCCCAATCCGCCCTCAAAAATTAAAGCTGAATTCCATTTGGATCGCGAGATATCCTCTGTACAAACCTTTTTCGACCAAAATGTTAAGGGTTTTCACTATTTTGCTTGTAAAATCGTTAAATGAAGGAATTTCCAAAAACAAAATAAAGCTTATAAAGAAGATGTGTTTCTCCACCTCCATGCCAAAAAATCAGGCGGAATTCGGCCTGACGGCCGAGAAATCGTCTGCACAGAAAGCACACATACTTTTCTCGCTTATAGGATAGGATATCTACTACATATTTATATTTGACAAACTCGATCCTAAGAAAAAAATTTGAAAGCTCCCCGATAATGCGAAGAACCGAAATTTCAGAAAAACCGTTCAAATGGATGGATCGGAAGTTCGTGGTAATTTTATCGATCTTCCGCTGCCATTGCATCGACGTCTTCTCGAATTCCTCTCCTCAATGGATCCAAAGACACGATTCCGATACGCAATGTCGTCCAAATTTTGTGGAAACTGACGGAATCCGGGACGAATGGCTGGGCAGATTATGAAGTGTACTTTTCGAGGATGCCCCTCTGGCGATAATCTATAAGTCGTCACCTGATGGTACAGAATCGTATATTCAGGTGAGGATCAATAATCCGCGTGCCGAATCACTGTTGCTGTCTGGAATTACCGTAAGACTGACCATTTTGTCGTCGATTCCCACTGAAGACATTCCCGAATTGGGATGCGGACCGACGGTCTAAGAATAGAGGCGCCGCTCGATGAAGCCGCTTGGTTGGCCCCTATTTGAAGGAATGGAGCCGCTGGCAGTAAATATCAATTCATACAGTTTGATAGAATGATGATCACGTTGCCCCCCGAACAAATATTACATTTTATTAACGAACACGTGAAAGAGTGCCGTTTCCCAAGGTTACCCGGCCGACGCCTGTGGTCTGAGCTGAAATGTCCGCAGCTACGGATTGAGGCCAGGACAGCGGGACATCATCTGATTCACCCATACATCGGTCAAATGGTAGAAGAGTGGAAAGAGGGCAAACGAGAAATTATAGAAATCAACATTTTTGCCGCACCGGGCTATGTAGTTAGATGTGAAGAACATCAACGGGAAATTGATGGACAGCGGATTCGAGTCAAATACTTAGAATACGGGCGTATCTTGTTGACCAGAGTATCGTAGCGTTTCCGACAGTGAAATATTCGTTTTTTTGTCGTTATCTTTGTATGAATAAATATTAATAATATTTTTGGGTATATTTGGCCTAGAAGAGCATTTCAAGTTGTTTTTGAGGCATTTATGTTCACCATAGGGATGTTTAAGACTGTATTTTGCAAAACATTAGACTTTTGAGCTTTAATTGTGGCTCTAATCGGATTTAAGTAATTTCCATTAAATGCAAATCCTGGCTGTAAGCTAGTGATGGGGTTATTCAAATCAAATCTTGAGTAAAATCTGAGAGCTCAAATCCTACCTTATATAATTTTGGCGTGTAACTGTGTGTGTGTGTGTGTGGATGTCAGTTTCGAGGCCCGATTTGAGGGCCTTCCCGTGCATAAAATGCTCTAATTCTCCGTCACTTGGGGAAATCGACCCTTCTGTTTCCAATGGCGCTTTCAGAATCTTGATAAAATACAGGTTTACAAAGTTAAAGCCGGTTTTACTCATTTTTGGGGGTAATTTGCATAATGTGAAAAAATAGAAATTTCTTCATTCTTGCAAGTTGCACGCGCGCGTGTGGTGGGCCGGGGGGAGGGGGTCCGAAGGACCCGAGCCAGGCCCGTAGCGGAACCGAAATTTCGGGGGGGGCCCAAAAATTTTGGCGACCTCCCCCCCGGTCGCAACTTTTAAAACATCCGCAAAAAAGCGTTCGCTACACTCAAATTCGTGTGAAAACACGGCAGCAAACGCGCCGCAGGCGAAAATTTTTTATCAACAATTGATTCAGCAATGAAAAACCAGCGCCGCAGGCAAAAAATTTTGAAAAAATAGGCTTCATATAAGTAAAACTGTTTGAAAAACAGTAATAAACAGCGCCGCAGGCAGAAAAAGTTTTGTAACTAAAAATCATGAGGGTCCCCCCTTATGAATTTTTCGGACCTCGACCGATTTCGGGGGGGGCCCAGGGCCCCCTGGGCCCCCTCCTACGGGCCTGACCCGAGCTATCGGAAAGTCAAATTTCTTAGGCAAAGACCGCATTCCAGCGCCCAAGGCCCGCGAAGCGGTTTTGAGCGCTGGTCTAAATCTTGAAGGCAAAAATTTTGATTTCAAATCGGCGGATTTGATTTGAAATCCCGTGGACTAGTTCAAATCGAATCTCGAGAATTTGATTAAGCTTCCGGTCCCTAATCAAATCTTATGGAGATGCCGGCATGCAAAACATAACAAAATCGCTATGGCCGAGCTGGCGCGAACCGGAAATGACCTTGATTATGCATGCCATCATACAATTTGCATCCACTTAATGAGCTATTGATTTTTTCGACTCCTTTCAAATCCTCGTTCAAATCTTCAGATTTGAACTCAAAACTTCAAGTCCAAATCAAATCGATTTGATTTGAAGTGCTGAAACCTTATTCAAATGCATACCGGCCGATTTGATTCGGCGGATGCAAATTAGATTTGAGATTTGAATAATACCATCACTACTGTAAGCTGATCAATCAATCAATCAAAGATCAATCAATCTAAGCTATGCCTGAGTCTGATTAGCTCCATTCAAGTCAAGCCGAAGCCTAACAGCAGCCAAGTCAAGCCTGGCTGTAAGCTATCCATCTATATAGCGTAGATCCTATTTAGCATCTATTAGAGTTTTGGGAGCAATTCGAAGTTAAGTTAAACTTGGACTTGCGCCTAAATTGAGCCTAAATTCCCTAAGCTTTAGTTAAGCATAGTTAGAGCTAAGTTAAGCCTGGACGTCAGCTAAAAAGCAAGTAAGGTAAACGGTGTGTCTTGTGGCCCGTTACTGTCAGCACAGTGTTGCACCCCTCAGATACATCAGCACCAGCCGTTTTCGGTTTTTGGCGCCTTTCTGAATCAGGGACCATAATCTGGCTAAAATCTCGATTCTATAGTCCACGATTCGAACCGTGGACCTTAATGAAAAATTCGGGAAATCTATGGTCCACAATTTCGGCCAATGGTCCACGATATCTCCTATGGTACCCGATACTTACTATAGTACCGGATATTTTTATAGTACTTGATCTTTTTATAGTTCCCGCTACCGGTATAGAACCATCTCGTTTTCGGGAACTCAGTGTGCCCTTGCGTCGGGAGACTTGTCGGCGCGGGAGCACAAAACACGAACACTTTTGGGGCTGTCAGCTTCACCCAACGGACGCGGAGTCTTCGGCGGGCATACCGGATCTCACCCATGAACTTGGCGAATTTTTGGCATTCGGTCCGGTAGGAGGAGGAGACCTCCTCCAGTGCTCTCCCCCTGTGCTCGATTCCTATCTGGTTCGTCTACGTTGCGTGATCGAGTTTGCGAGTAAGCTTTTATTTATTGATGCATTTTTTAAATTCAGCTCACAATCCAGCAAAAGTGGCAACCATTAATCAGTGCGACTCACCTATTACGAACGCGGGCCATTGCACTGTCCGTCGAGCTGGCAAAGATATCAACGCTCATACCTCGACCGGTATTTGTATTTTCTCGCTATATTATTCTTTCCTCTAGATGTACGAGGATTTGGCGCGAAAGTGTGAAGAAGTTGGTTTCGCTATTGCTAAGACGTGGCGACTAACCTTAGTAGGCCCAAGAAAGTTTTTAATCCTCTTTTTGTGGTCAAAAAAGGAACCAAGAGTTGCGCCCCAATCATCGAGCGACGAAGAGGATATTCAGTGTGATCCGGCGACCCTGTTTCGTTCTCTGGTATTTATTAGTCTTTGTCTATATACAGGGTGTCCCAAAAAATCCTCCCCTAGCCGGCCGCAGACCTATCCGATTTTACGACTTGGTATCTATCGAAAGCTCTCGAAAGGCGAGTCCAGCACGTTTTGCCGATTTTCGGAACGTCGGAATTTTTGCGCGATTTTTGGCATTTTTTAGGCAAAAAGGACACGCTTTTAACCAAAATGCAATTTAACCGGTTTAAGCGCTATCAAGCTCTGTTTCAAAGAGCTGTCGTTGGGCTGCCAGGAAAGGCATAAAAATCCTTAAATTGCGATTTTCGTAAAAAACACCTTGGTAAGAAAAACATCAGAAAATCCGCGCGTTTCGCAAAAAGATTAGTAAATGATAGAAAAATTTCAAAATTTTAAAATTGGAGAGACGTCCTGGACTCGCCTTTCGAGAGCTTTCGATAGATACCTAAATCATAAAAATCGGACAGGTCTGCGGCCGGCTAGGGGAGGGGGGGATTTTTTTTGGGACACCCTGTACATGATTGCTAGGAGAGCTTTATGGATGAGTTTACCCCTCCAGGGGTACCGCTTACTGTCGGCGAGTTTATTCATGGGAGAATGGAAGCGGTTGGTATTTGAACCTTAGTTTGAGCTTATTTCTTTAAGCGTGCGGAGCGTCGTGCTGCAACCGTGAGAAATGTACCCTACCTCCACAATACAAGAGCCCGGTTGGTTGACACTCCACCACCGAACCCTGAACCTGAAGGATTTGTGAGTTTTTATTAATGTGGGTTTTTATTAAATTGATTTAAGCGATCTATTTACGCAGCGCCCCCGGCTTTGCACCTAGTGTTCCTATTTCGAGACCTCTTGAAGCGGTAATTCTAATATTTTTATATCCGGGAGATTATCGTTCCAGCGTGTTGTGACACCTGGGTATTAAAGCGCACGTTCAGGGAGGGGCCGTATACTCGTCCCAACGTATACACCCTATGGACGTAGGGACCGCGCCACCGCCTGCCCGTGGCGTGGCAGGCAATTTGCCTCCTTTGCGGGCTGGAGCGCCCCTCACCCGCTCGCCAGGTTGTAGCTGTGGCTGACTGGTATCCATCCGCGCCTCCCGAGCGGGGGCCCGGGTTCGACGCCCGGCCGCGGCAAAGTCTTTGCTTTTTCCAAAAAAGTCCCTGAACGTGCCCTTTAAAGGGCTTGCTCACCGCCAGACCTCTAGCTCAGACGGTACTTTTCGTTGACTTACCAAATATGACTTTATAAAAAACGACTTTGGTGATTATTACAGCGTTCCCTGCCTCCTCCGATTCATGCATACAGAGCTCGTTCTCCTCCATCTTATGCGAGATATCAACCTCCTGTTCCTGTCTCTGATGGTGTTCGGTGTCGGTCTCCGTTTCGCGTCTCCGACGTAGGTTTCCAACTGATAAGATGTATGAAGTACCAGTTCAGAACATTCTTTTTTATTATTCCAGGCTCTACGTACTCCTCAGGTCCACCATATAGACGTTATTCACCCCACCCACCGTCCATCGATGGGATTCAGGCGAGTTCTGAGAGATTTGAAATAACTTCTAAAAATCAAAAATAAAATGTTATTCCAGTGTCCCGTGTCTCCGGTAGAAGGACGTATACGTCCGTACTCACCTCCACCGCGCCCCCCGTCGACTTCCTGTCAGGCAGGGTATGTTGTTTTTAGGGAGTTACTATGGAACTATTAAAAATCAAACGTCTAGGGACCTTCACCACCCCCGCCAGTGCGACCCGCCGTGATCGAGTTTCGCCCGGTCACCTTGGACAAACAGGTGCTCATCTGTAGGCAGCGGCAACCGTAATGATATAACGATAAGCCTCTGTGTTTTTCTCTTTTCCGTGTCTGAATAAATATCGTTGCGCATATCGGCGGATTCTATGAAATTGCAAAAAAAAGTTAACGAAACTGCTGCTCTCATTTTACTTCAAGTTTAGGTTTAGAGAAAAGTGCAAAATTTAACATCGCGTGGTCGATCCTAACGTCAAGCAGCCAATAAATAATCAATGCATTGTGTGGCAAAAAGTAATAAATAATAAAGTAAATAAAAATTAAAGCGAATAAATAACTTTGGGTGGCACTAATTAACCTAAGAACTGTCTAATTTTTCAGCTGTAGTTTGTAGTTGTCGCTCTCCTCGACATGAAACGTATACAATCATTAAATTTTAGTGACTTTGGCCTAGAAAAATTTCGGTTTGCTACGGCGCTTTCCCGAGAACTGTCCAAACAATTCCTTATCTTTCAACGCGCTCACCTCGGCCCTCACCCCATTTTCTTGCAGCATCCCCTCATCGATTTTGCGGGTTTTCCGCTTCCTTATGTACCGCTCTTTTATTAAACTAAAATTTCAGATTTTACGACATTTTTGATCGGTGTCCGTTCTTTATTTACAGGGTGTCCCAATAAAAACCCCCCCTCCCGACGCGAAGTATCGGATCGCAATGATATTTACACCATTCGAAAGCCCCTTGACAAGGCGAGTTTGCGACAGCTGCAAAACCATGTTTTTATTGAAACGCAGAATTTTAGAAAGTCTTGAAAAACGTTAAAGGGAAGCCGACAGCATAGACAATCGGTTACGCGCGGAAAAGAAAATGTCTCTGCGCCTCTCCCCAGGGCGCGCTCTCTCCCCTGTTGGCTACTTGCCAATTTGTTGATGGGGGGATCGACACATACCGTCGGCAGCCCTTTAAGGGACCGCCTCTGTATATGATTACCGTCTACCGTCGATCATTTTGCTTGGAGAAATCGAGGCCAAAATTAGCTCGTATGCAGCCCGAAAAAACCGCAAAATTTTGAAATGGCTTGTAAAATAGCGGGTCAAAATAATAGCTATGGTTTTGAAGCCTTTTGCGAGCTGGTCGCCGTATGCGTCGAATTAAGGGGTATTTTTATTGGGATACCCTGTATTGCTACCAAAGCCCATGTTTTAGAAATAGCGATCAAATGAATAAATCTTCTTGTGATATGGATTTCATTAATCTACCATTCCCATTCCATCGTCGGCTTCTCCGAATTCCCCTCCACCCCAATGGAGCCGCCGACACGATTCCGATACGCTAGGTTTTGCAGATTGCTGTGAAACTGACCGACGCCGGGACGGATAGCTGGGCAGATTGCCAAGTCAATTTCGTGAGCAACTCTGCCGTTGAGATATGGCACAAACATACAGCAGACGGTGACTTTTACAAGTCCAGAGTGACGATCAAAAATCCGCGCACAAAAGCATTGCTGCTGGCTGGAATTACCGTGCATCGCACTGTTTTGAATTAAAATCCCAGCTGAGGCATGTAGATGGGGTTGCGAGTCGACCGTCTACGATATAATTTCCTGCTTTCGATGAGATGGCTTTGGTAGGATCTACTCAAAGGGATGAAGCCGCAGCCCAGTGCAAGTACCGATGTCTAAGCTTTTAAGGTCATCCCTACTAGCCAAGTTCTTTAATTTATCACATGAACATGCGGGAGAGGCCAATCTTCCGTTTTTCTGGAACGGAGCCTCTGGTCTGAGCTGAAATGCGAGACATTTCAGATGTACGCTTATCGGCATCGAGGCACATAATTTAAGAATTTATCCTCATTTGTTGGTTGAGGAGTGGCAGAAGGGGTAAAGGAGATTCGCGAAATTAAAATCGACGTCGATCGGGAGCTAAATAACCCCGTTGAAGTATATCGACGTAATATCGATGGGCAACGGATACGAGTAACATACAATAATAAGCACAGCCACCTATGTGGCATGGTCGATTGCGAGGAGCAACACATTATCACTTCCGAAAACTGCACACAAGTATCTACTGCCTCGGTACGCGGACACGGACATGCTGATTCCGGGTCTTTAAAACAATCAGCGAGGCCGCATTACGTGCAGCTATAGCGTTTAGCAAAGCTATAGCGATTTTAAGCCGGGATGAATTTCCTTGGCCTCACTTTTCCCTCATTCGGCCACTCGACTCGTCTCTGAATAAATGTATTTTGATCAAGATATTCAGACATGCAGTTTGCAGAGAGTGTTACATCAAAAAAAAGGAGATAAAGCATTGACGCACAAGCAGCATAAACATGAACCTGAAGGGTCATAAAAAACGATGAAATGCATACAGACAACTGGCTCATCCATTCGATTGAGATTTCTAAGCTGGCGATATTAGCAGAAGGAGTTACTTGCTTAGTTGTAGGCAAAATTCAAACACAAACCAAACTAGGAAAACAGGATTTAAAGTAGAAAAACTTTCAAAAAGGAAAAAATCCTGAAAAAGTCGAAAATTTAGAGGTCATTTTGGGTCCTTCCCTCCCCCGCTAATTCTAAAGGTTCTGAGGATTTTTCGACCTAGGTATGTCTTTTATTAAAATGTGTGTCGTTTTTATGCTCATTAATAGCGAAAAACAGTTTAGAAACGCATCCGCGATTAATAAAAAATTTAGGCTTGTGCCGAAAATTGGTTCCCCCGCCCTGAGACCCCTACTAGAACAGATTTTCCCCATCTTTGATTCTTGCCCTTTCATTTATTAATTCTCGTTGAAGAGCCATTTATTGGTATATGTTCGGATAAGCACTAGAGTCAGGCTATCTATGTTTCGCTAGTAACTATCAATCACTACGGTAGATACAGATTACATATTCCTCCCTCTGCTGTGTGTAGTCGACCCGAATCCGTTGTCCATCCATTTCCCGTTGATGTTCTTCAACTCGGTAATCGTCGAAGTCAGAATAAATTTCAATAGATAGAATTTCTCGTTGCCCCTTCTTCCATTCCTCGACCAGCAAATCGATATATGGTTGAATGAGATCATCGTCTTCCTCCCGGGTACACAGTGTAAATGTGTCGCATTTCAGCTCGGACCATAGACTTCGTTCAGGGAACATCGGAAAGTGGACCTCTTCCACGTTTTCATTAATAAAATGGAGTGTTCTGGTAGTCGGGATTAGTTTTTTCGAAGCGTATCCATTCGTACTTCCGGTCGAGCGGCTTCATTCCTTCAAGAATGGCCGTCAAATCGGCTTCTTCCAAAGGATAAAAGTATGTTTAGACGATCGGACCGCTTCCCCAATTGATAGCCCTTTAGCAGGAAATGCGCGCAGATCGGTGCGATCTACGGTAATTCCGGCCAGCAGCAATGATTGTGTTCGACGATTTGCGATCGTCAGATTCGTATGGAAACCATTTGACCAGATCGCAACAGTTGGCTCACTCGTGAAGATGACGTAATAATCTGCCCAGCTGTTCGTCCCGACTTCAGTCATTTTCCATATTTTTTGGCAGGTCTTCGCGTATCGGAATCGTGTCTTTAGATCCATTGGGGTCAGGAATTCGGGAAGACGACGGTGGAATGTCAGCGGTAGATTGTGAAAATCCGCATCACAAGATGATTCATCCATTTGATCGCTCAACTAAAAAAATGCATAAGCAGCAGGGTTGGTCGCGCTGATCCGCGATCCAGGTCCGGTCAGGGGTCGGTCCGATCCGGTCCGGTCCGGTCCGAAATTTCCATCGGACCGGACCGGACCGGACCGGACCGGACCTGTCCGGTCTGTGGCGGACCGAGGGGCTTTGATTTGATTTTCCTTTTGTTTTCAGCCCGGTCCGAAATCCTCGGATCCCTCGGACCGATCCGGACCGGACCGGACCACGGACCGTCCGCCGGACCGGATCGCTTTGTGACCAACCCTGATAAGCAGCGATAAATTAAGGGTGCTGTTCTAATGGCCGGTGGCGAATTTAAACAGGTGCAAATTTTTTGCCCTGACTTGTTTTTAATTTTCATTATTCCGGGCCCTAAATATATATTTTTGGTGCTTTATCGAATGGCATCATCAAAGCAACAGCAATAGAAAAAATAGCGAAAAGGGGATCCCTGCGGTTTTGCCCACGGCCAAATAGAACATTACCAAACAAAGAGAAGCCCGACGTAGGCGCGTTGAAAACCAATTTTTTCGGCAGTTTTTAGGAGGCGAATACGAATCTCTTAGTGTCGGAACCAAGTGAATTGATTAATTTCCACGAGCACGAAACGCGAACGTGGCAACGGCCAGCATGAAATGGCAAACAACCCGACTCTCAAAAAACCTTATCTTTGCAGCTGCTTACCTGGGACGGTCATTTTCTTGCTGCGTACTTTCATCGATTTTGCGGCCGATGGCGGAGAGTGGGAAGTCCGGATTTTCCAAATGCTCTTATTGACGGCTAGCAAACCGATCGAAATTCTTAACCACTGGTTTGATAGCGCATTCCAAGGGCTTCATTTTGATACCCTTGAAGTCCTCGTGACTAATAAAAGTTCCATACTTTAGCGCTTCAAAGTTTTCCACTTTTACAAAAATGTTCAAAATTTTTTGACGACCCTGATCGCCAAAAATCTTAAAGAACAACTTGTGTTATTTCTTCATGCCCAGCATATTTAAGCATTCTGGCAAGGTAACCATGGTCCGATGTGTTTCCTCCTAGCGAGATTTTCTGACCAAAACTTTAC